AAAAAAAAAAATTAGTCAAGAATCTGGCAAGAGACTTGACTCACTGGTTTGTTCTCCAGAATGATAGATGGCTCAGAAATTAATAAGTCATCTTCACCCAGAGAATCATAATTCACAAAGTTAGGAATGTTGAATTTCGTATGGCAGTTCAGCTCCCCTCCCAGTCGTCTACCGTTCTCAATTACTTCTTGGAAGTGGATGTTAGTGTCCATAACCGGCACCTTGGGACACTGCTTGGTTCTATCCGTGTCCTCAAGTTCATTGATGTAGCAATGGAGAAACAGTTGCTGAGAAAAAATTCGCTCAGAATCCAGTGGCTGTCCAAAGTCAGCTACAAAGTTGTTTGTGCAGAGTTTTTTCTCAGAAGAATGTATACGCCTACGAAACAAGGAGAGAGGAACAATGGATAAGAAATTTAGTAAGTGTCATTTATGTACACAATGTGAAACAGGAGATGCCAAAACAGATTTATTAATGTTGAATTAATTGGAATTACTGCCATTCTTCCAGGAACTCATGACGGCCATGTCACGTTCCCTTCATTTCCACCCCCAACAATCCTGTGGTAGGATCTGCTAAGATGGAAGGATTGGCCCAAAATGTCACTCATTGAACTTTCACAGTTGAGGATGAACTTAAATATGTGCTGTTTTAAACAGTAGTTCTCACTTAACATATGCTCATTCAGAGACTGTTGAAAGATTTGATGATGCTGAATGGGAAATCCTTATCACAGGTCTTCATAGTCGTGGCTGTTGCAGAGCCCCTGAAATCACACAATCATCGTTTGGGACTTTCCCGTTGGCTTCTGACAAAATCAGTGGGGAAGCCAGCAGGAAATTGCAGATGGCGATCAAGTCTGTGGAACACTGTTGACTGCTCAGGATTTGCCTAATGATGACAACTGAGACTGCTGGAACTACTATTACTCTAAGTCGGCATTGTCAGCATGATGTGCCTTACAACCACACTGCTTAGTGACTGGTTTCCCGGTCCCAATTACAGTTGGTAAGTAAGGACTACCTGGACACTTAAAATGGATAATATTTCTAAAATATTATCAATTTGCAGTCCTCAGTGTTCTGAGTAAAAAGTTTCTTTCTTGCTCAGCTGTGACAACATCAGTAACGTTTTTCAATAAATCCTAATAAACGAGGGCCACATTTACATTTTCGTGTAGAACAAAGTACATGCATTTGTTGTGAAATATTTAAATTTAATTGTGAACTCACAGCATTTCTGGCATTAACAGTATACGTTTTGTAACTTTTCTTAAATAGCCATACAAGTTGGCTGTTTAGTTCATGGCAATGTAAATCCCTGAGTCATTTGTTCAAAAACGCTCAGCTAAAAGAGATGATGATTTTTCAACGCCAGCAGCAGGACTTACTCTTGGTGTGGTACTCCAGTCTTGGTCAACAAGGTCAGCACGAAGAACATAAAAATGACAAAGACAGCAAGGCCGACCCAAAATCCGATCACAATGGAATCTATAGTGGAGAGTGGGAGGGAGGAGAAACAATTCAAAATAGACATCTTAAAATTTATAATTGAGAAAGAGTAAAACTTAACTTTCATAAATTTATATGCCGCCCAATCCCGTAGGACTCCGGGTGGCTTACAGAAACAAGATTAAAATAAGGAATTAAAAATAGAAAAGAGAAACAATTTAAAAATAACGCACCATACACTCAATCTGGGTGGGGCTGGACCTCATTCATGAAGTCCACAGCCCCAGGCCTGCCAGAATAGCCAGATTTTAGTGGCTTTTCGGAAGGCCGAGAGAGTCCAGATCTCTACGGATAGGTCGTTCCGCAGGGTCGGAGCAGCTACAGAGAAGGCCCTCTCCCAAGGGGCCGCCATCCGGCATTGTCCGGTCGACGACACCTGGAGAAGGCCCAGCCTGTGAGTTCTTATCGGCCGTTGGGAGGTATGTGGCAGGAGGCGGTCTCTCAGATATCCAGATCCTAGGCCATGTAGGGCTTTAAAGGTGATGACCAGCACCTTGAAGCGCGTACGGAGACCGATCGGAAGCCAGTGCAGCTCGCGGAGGATAGGTGTAACATGGTTGTATCTAGGTACACCCGATATCGCTCATGCGGCTGCGTTCTGGACCAACTGTAGTCTCCGAACACTTTTCAGGGGAAGCCCCATGTAAAGCGCATTACAGTAATCGAGCCTAGAGGTGACGAGGGCATGAATGACCATTCGAAGTGCCTCCCGGTCCAGGTAGGGCCGCAACTGGTGCACCAGGTGAACCTGAGCAAAAGAGGATTTGGACACAAAAAGCATCCAGGTAAGACTTACATTTGTGAGCCTTGAGGTCTTCAAAGGAAACCGGGTCATATTCATAATATTCATATTCCCAGGTATAATCAGAATGAGATAATAGGGCATGTTGAGATGTTTTGTTGGAAATATAGTGAGGCTCCGTCATCTCCAGCCTGACAATACATAAATGAGGTAAGCTTTTGCAGAATGAAGTAATCTCAATGTCGACCTGCTTTATCCTATGGCAGTGAGGGCCAACCTTTTTGGCACTGAATGTCAAAAAGGGAGCGTGCGCATGCACGCACAGCACCAGGTGCTGGAAAGGGGGAACTTTGTGAACATGTGCACGCTTTGCGCTTCGCGCACACTCATCTGGGCCGCAACCAGGAAGAGAAGCTGCCCAGGAGACATGCGCATGCCAGGAAATGAACTTCCGGTTTCTGACACATGCACGAGCACTGACCAGGAAGTCTTCCGGTTACTGCCATGCATGTGCACGTGATGACTAGCTGGCCAATGCACATGCTCACGTCAGAAAATGGAAGACCAGCTCTTCCAGTTTCTGGCACTGCTGCATGCACAAAGGCCAGCTAATCGACACATGCGCATGCACATCAGAAGCCCAGAAGAGGAATGGGCAACACCACACGAAATGCTAGGCGAAATGGCTCTGTGTGCCACTTCAGGCACATGTGCCATAGGTTTGCCATCTCAGTCCTATGGTATCTCATCTTTCTACCTACAACTTTCAATGATTGATAGTAATCCTATCCTATTGCAGAAGAGGATTTGCCTACTCTTTCCAGTTAATTGCTAACCTGACTAAAATTAGCAATGTCATAGCTACAGAACAGACGATTCTAAAGGTCAATTTTATATCCAATGTGAGATGCAGACCAGCACTCAACATATAAAACTAAATGCCATACTCGTTCTGAGTTGTGAAGAATTTACATCAGCCCTTCAAACTAGACCAGATCAGAAAAGAGACCATCACAAGAATTGTTGGAACTCTACAATTAGAAGGTAAATAACCTGAAAACCTGACAAGTTCTCTCCTCTTCCCTTTTGCTGTTGTTGTTTTTTTCACTTACAGCTGAACGAAGGACTATGCAAAGTCAGATAATTGGGGTTTTTTCCTACTAGAAGATCATCAAATCTTCTAGTTACAAAGTTGAGCTTCTGAAATTGATAAGCGATTTGTCAGAGTTTGTTGCAGCAATTGCATCCAGAAAGCACACACAGGTAACTGATTCAGCAGCATTCCCTAACTTCTCATTATATATAAAATAGCACACAAAGTAAATATACAATACGAAAAGCAGGTTTTCCAATGTAGTAGTAAATACAAGCAAACACAGGCAGAGAACAGTGTCAGTTTCAGTTCAGAGCAGCAGACTGGTTTAGAGCTCAGCACAGACTCAGAGCTACGTAGCTAAGCCATGCCTAGGCTCCTTGCTGTCTCCTTGTTGCTCACACAGCAAATACTGTTTCAGTTTCCAAAGAGCCCTAATTGGCTGACTTAGTTGCTATGCCTATTCATTGGCTGACCTTGTTACCAGGTCTCTTAGAGGCAGTCCCCATTGGCTGACCTGTTGCCATGTCTATTCCAGTCTCTGAACATACTCTGACATGATTATAATGCTTAGCAGGGCTGGGAGAAAAGAACACAGATGGAAGGAAGAGGAAAGCAGAAAAGAAGCAGATTTCACAAGATCTCAGAACATTCATGCAGCCTCATTATCTATTCCATAGTTTTCATAGACAGGTTCAAGTGGAACCCATTCCAGTGGAAGAGAACTGCTGGAGAAAAATCTAGAATTGTTTTCCTCTCTGCAGGCATCTTTCCTCTTTAATACAGCATCGCCACCTCTTGTATCTCAGCCTTTCCTTTTCCCTGATTCCTCATCTCACTTCTCCATATACAAGATTATCTGGCCCTCTTTTGCCAACCTTGTTTTATAGCATCTGATATCAACCTGCAGTTTGGGAATAGTTACTAGTTGTCTTCTCCAATACTATGTATCAACTCAACTACACCTGAGAAAAATACATGAAGAGGGGAGAGCAGATTGGATTAAAGACAGTGTCTTTATATTCTAACAAAATGCATTTTTGCAGAATAAAATTATACCCCAAGCGAAGTAGGAATCAATTGATTTTACTTATTTTTCACATTTTTGAACCACCCATCTCACTCAATGCTTCTGATGCAACTTCTTTCATTGTATATGTTGGAAGCATATGCCCCCAAAGAAAGTCAACTAATCATATCCTGCCCTTATACAGAGACACTCATGCTATCTGATGATGGAAATCCAAATGACAACTTGCTAGCCTTCCTGCTAAATACCGTATATACTCGAGTATAGGCCGACCCGAATATAAGCCGAGGCACCTAATTTTACCACAAAAAACTGGAAAAGTTATTGACTCGAGT